AACAAGCCTCTTCCTCACTCCTAACAGGTTTTCTTTTCATGGGTTCGATCCCCCTTCGGTCCCCATGTGTTGCCTGATCTAGTTGAGAGGTGTCCCTGCCCATGACAGGGAGGTTGGACTAAATGATCTCTAATGTCCCTTCCAGCCTAGGCCACTCTATGATTCTTTTTGTGTTGGTCTTTTGACAGTCATTAGGATGGGAGCAAATCTTTCTTTTTTCTTCTTTTTTTGGGAGGGGTGGAGGACTGGGATGAGGGCAGGTAGGCCCCTAGTAAATGACTTCATACATCCCAATTCCAGTGACACATAGAGAATATTACATGTGACAAAAGACTCGGCTGTGAAGAAAATCAACATAGAAGCATACTACTCAAAAGTTAAGAGGCTGTCATATGTTTGAAAGATTGTACATTTTCCTTAGAGTTCATTGTCTGTGTCATGTTTACGTTAGGCACAGGGTAGATGTTACAACCCTTTATATCAGGAACTATGTTAATATGGTTGTCTAGAGTGATGCCACCATGTTTCCAAAGGCAACAAAGACTGTGTCGCTTTTCAAGTTGTTTTGTTGTGCTAGAATCTCTTAAACGTGATTCCGAAGGACAGTCCCTTTTACCATCTATACTGGCTGAGTGGGACAGTGTCCTAAAGAAACGGATAGTTTCGAAATGGTCAAAATGTTATATCTGTCTTTAAAATAGTTTTCTGTGTCTATTACTTACATACCTACTGAAATTGTTTTTTTTTGCAAAAGAAATATTCAGTAAATTTCTGCATTACAGTTTAATCGTTGCTGTACTGGGAAATGAGAGAGATTCTGCTCATAAATGTGCTTACGCTCTCTCTACCTTCCCTCTGCCCAGGTCATCAAGACTCCAATGACTAGCCAAAAGACTTTTGAATCACTTATGGATTTCAGTAAAGCAGTAGGAAAGAGTCCTGTCAGTTGTAAGGTAAGTATATTTTGATTGTACAGTGTTCAGAAAGTCAATTCTTGAAAATTATTAATTTTAAGGTGGTAAGTTTTAGTACATGAAAGAGCACTTCAGGAATTTCCAGGCTGCTTTTTGTCCAGTTTTTCTTTCCTATTAAAAGCATTTTGACAAAGAAAACACCCACATTTGCCACAAATTCCTCAGAGTGACCCTAGACATCTTGTCTAGAGCAGCAAAACACAAGTGTCAGGATTTAGTTATTGGGTTTTCTTTTCCAGTCCTGCAGAAGCCTGAACTGGAAACCATAAGCTGGAGCTCATCTTTAGCCATGCTAGAGACAAGACTGCTCCCTCTTGTACCATGAGGCAGTTGGATGAATCCTCTATGGTGTGTGCCCATTGCAAGTTTTTCTTACAACTGCATTAACTAGACCCATATTAATCTTCATTGCTTTGCAGCTTTGTTCTTTAATTCTGGAGGAACACCCTAATTCCTAAGTACTCTTTTTCTGAATCTGTTAAGTTGTGGTCTGGGTAGCTTTATGCAATCTATTGCCTTGAGTTTCACAGCCCCCAGGAGGCATTTGGCCATAAAAAGAAGGGCCTGCAATCCGGTAGTTACCAGTAATTCAGCATCTGGATGCTGGATTCTATTTCTGGCTGTACTGCTAAATTGCTCTGTGGCCTTAGTTGACTTTTTTTCCTGTTTCTGTCACAGTTTTGCAGTATGTAATGTGCAGAATATATGAAGAATTATTGCTATAAATTAGCTTGGGTAGAGTGTAATGTGGTGCAGTCTCCATGTCTAAACCTTTTTTCAGTTACTGTTTGTAGAAAAAGTTGGTTGAAATTCTCTCAGTTAAATATTGAAATAAAATGGAAGGAACAATAGACATTTGAAACAGTAGTACTATACGAAATAATACTATATTTGCAAAGCTCTTAGTCTTTTCCTTTGTCTTTTTTGTTTTGATTAAAGCTTGTGTAAAAGAAGTTCTGTTTCAGATCGTTATCTTCTTGTGCCAGCATGTATTGGCATTGGTGTTTGTGATTGAAGTGGCCCTAACATAAAAAAGCGTGGTTTACCAGTGAGCAGTGGAGAAGAAATAGACTATTTAGCCAGGAATGTTTCTGGTAATGAACACCAAAAGAAACCTCTTAGGGAAGAACTGCTCTTTGTGTATCCTTCAGGAAATTGTATCAGGAGAATTTTGCTAAAGAAAAGACATTTGCCAACTGGCTGCATTAAATTGTTTTAAGATTAATTGAATTGGGCTTGTAGCAGTCTTACTGTTCTCAGTCACGATGAATGTTCATGTGCCATTTCTTGTTTGTGAAATTCATCTTTTGCATTTTCATACTGAGCAGATAAAGCAGATGAAAAATACAGTTTAGAGAGTACCAGAAGTTGATTCAATAAGTGTCTTCATCCACTTTTTTAATCTGTCGAGTAGCATTTGAGCATGGTATTGGTAAAGAATGTTTATTTAGAATCTCTTTTTTTTCCTTTTTGTAGGATACGCCAGGGTTTATTGTAAACCGTCTCTTGGTGCCATACATGATGGAAGCTGTTCGACTTTTTGAGAGAGGTACTTGTTGGGATATTGACTTCAGGGAACGTTGACATATAACACTGCAAAATGTTACATCCCTTCAGAAAAACCTTGGGATTCTCTCAAAACTTTCAGACCTTGAAGGCTGGAAGTGAATAGTGAACATCAAATATGAGCTAATATGTATACTGTTGGAAAGTTGGAAAGACCTTGTCTTCACTTTGAGATGTCAGTGTATGCAGAGTTGGAAGGTACTAGTTACTTGTCTGCAAAATTTCTGATGGTTTGATGATGAGTGTAGTGTCATTGTAAAAATTTCTTCTGCCAACTAATCAAGAACCATCCTCTCTCCATCCCAAGAGATGGTAATGAAAGTGGTTGAAAATCCCATAATGGGACCATTGGCAAAGTTTTCCTGAGTTCACTTGTATTGGGCTTATGAAATAAACCACCAGTTTTCAGCTGAGGTAAGTAGTATAATACCAAGTGTCACACTACGGTACTGGCATACAAGTGGCTCGGCTGTTGCCCCGTGAAACCTGTTCATCTTCTATCTCCTGTTTAAGACGCAGGTTCTTTAGGATCTCCGATCTCACTGCTGGTCTCTGTTCACATTAATACTGAGGGTGGGTAGAAATAATCGCAAATTCCCAAAGAACCACTAAATTTTTCAGAGCACTGATGTTTTGAAAGGAAACAAGCCAATAATATAGTGGATAAGAGGAAATCATGGAGTATAATTACTTCTATTTCAAATGCTGTCCTCACAGCTGCGTGCTACGAAGAATGCCATTCGAAACATTTTGTTTTTGAAATCACTGCTTTTTTACAGATGAAAGCACTCCATTATCAGGATTCCACCAAATATGCTTTAAATATTAAAAATCTCTTTTACAGCACATGGAAAGGATGGTTTGATCTCCAGAAAAGATATAAACCAACGCTACTTGTTTATCCATCAACAGATGTACCTAATTACATCTCAAAGGGAGAAAAGAACAAATTTGGTGACTTGAAAGGCACAGGCACAGATGCGAGGGGCATTATTCTCTTGGGAAAAGTAACAATTTTAAAGTGTATGGGTTTGTAAAAGAGGTGCCTTTGTTAAGTGACACATATCATTATACATATTTCAGGAGACAGTAGAACTTTTAATTAAATGTAGAAGAAAACAGTCACTGAGATTGTATGTTAAAACTGACTCTTTTCTGCCTAAGGAACACAATATTTTGATTTAATCTTTATTCTGTTTGTATTTTGTTCAACAGTATGATATTTCCAAACTTGTTAAAGTTCATTTATGAATATTTAAGTGTAATGAAATCTCTTTAAAAACTGGTTAATGTTTTGAAAAGCCTGATGGCTGTCTTCTGATTCGTATTTTCCGTCAAATCAGGTTAAATTTTTATCATCTTTTGCATTAATTCACAGAGTAGACACCTGAGCCTGATTGTCATCGACATTAGTGTGAAATTGGGTCTCTTTCCTGGCAACCTCAAACACTGAAATATCATTTTTTTGGATCAGTCCTGAGTCTTTACTTAGGCAAAATCTCCTTAAGTGTGCACTTTTGCACAGGCACAATGCCTTTAGTATATTAACAGTGATTTAAACAGAGAGCATATTTTAAATATTAGTGTGTGGTGGCCTGTACTACTGTATTCTTAGCGTAAAACAAAAAAAAAGCAGTCAGCCAAGTTTCTATGGAAATCTGCTTTATACTAGGAGAGCAGCATGAACTAGGAGTAGGACACTTGTTTGCCCTTTTACTCTTTTTAATTATAACGCAGCTGTATCCTGTTAGGTGATGGTATACATACTGACCGCTGTATTCTGTCAGGTCCTAACTTTGACAAACAAAGTGGGACAAATCTGTTGAAAAAAGGATGTACATCTGCATCAACTTCAAATGAGTTGACGATTTACCTGTTTTGGAACTTAGGGAAATGAAATTATGTTAGAATTAAATAAGGCTGATTTTCCAATTTTCTCTGGAATAAAATGTGTTTTTTAAAAAAAATGTCAGCTCTAAAGAGTAAAAGGAGATATATTATTAAAATTACTGCTTTATGCAGAACTGTGACTGAAGTTGTTGCCTTTACAAAAGATTTGTTTCTAAGATTCCCTGATCTAGGTGTATAAGTTGCGTAGGCTGTGTCATGCTTTTGGACACCCTGAACACTTGTACACATTTGAGCATGGAGGTTGCTTAACCTCTGGGATTTGTGTGGCTGATTTTTTTTGTAGGATCTGCAAAGAGATATGTACTATCTTTATCAAAATATGAATTAGAAATAAGCAGTAGAGGTGCCTCTGCTTTCATGACAGTATAAAATATGCATTGCCATCAAAAGAATGAGGTGAATATGAACTGTGACAATGCGGCAACGCAGGATTTGTGTTTTAGAGGCACAGGCTGAAGTAGAACTAACACATTTAGGAAATTTTTGAATATTTTTTTAAAAATAATTTTGGAATTCACAAATTTAACTGCCCCTGCACAATCTTTTCAGGCCACTCCTACCTACTCTCTCTAATGCTGATGAATACCCTCTGTTGGAAGTCGCTGTGACTAAGGGTGTTACTCAGCTGCCCCTGCTCCCCTCGCCATGCCTGCCTTGCCAATCAGCTGCTATCGCTTGCTGGCTGTTGTAGAGTAAAGGTAGCTCTGTCCTCTGCATCGTTCCAAAGCTGCTGCTGATCTCATGAAGCTGAAATTGAGATATTTCCTTATTTTGACTATTCAGCTGCCTCTAAATGAAGCTCTTGATTCCTCAAAGTGACCAGTTCTTCCCCCTTGTCTTTCTGATAGGTTGACCACAGTAGCAGTATCTCCATAAATAGTGTAGTGATCTATATTGAAATGCAAGAGGATGCTAGAAAAATGGAAAGCAGTCCTTCAGGGCTTTTTTTTTTCCTTCTCCTTTTTTTTTTTGTTCTCTTGTGAGAGATTCAGCTTTACACACCAGCATGTGTATGCTGACTCCAGTTTTTGTGGTTCTGAAACGTGCAGAGATTTCTGTGAAGAACTGCACCAGGGTAAAATAACAGTCTGTTCATTATTTATAAGTGGTGCCAAGTAGATGCAGGATCTTCTCTGTTCATCAAACTGTCAATCTTTCTCTAGGAGATGCATCAAAGGAAGATATTGATGTTGCTATGAAGCTTGGGGCTGGCTATCCCATGGGTCCATTTGAACTGCTGGACTATGTCGGGCTGGATACCAGTAAATACATTATAGATGGTACTGCTTTATTATTCTTGTATTTTCTCCTATTCTTGACTCTTTTTAGCTAGATTATAGATGAATGTTCTAATGAAAATCTGGCTCTCCATTAGTTTGAACTGAATGTTTGTGGTATAGCCTTTTAAGTGTTGAGGAGAAAGGAATGAGAATTCAGCTCAAATACTGTATGAGTACAGCATTTATGCTGAATGCCTATAACCCTATATACAGGGGGGCAGAATATAGTGGTGGTTTTGCTGGATTCATCAAGTTACAGTGGAAAAAATAATAATATTACTGGAATTTCATACAAACTAAAATGAATCAATATTTATGTACTGGAGGTAAGGAATCCTGATGAAAAGCAACAAATGTTGCACTCCCTATCCTTTTTCTACCAGCTGTATTTTCCTTCTCAATTAATAGCAAATCCAGTAAATACCTTAAAAGATGGAAGTATACCTTCTCCTTTTTACTTCTTTACTTTTTACTGATGAATGTCAGTACCATACAAGAAAAGGACATAACTGGTCATGGCTTACTGGTGGTTGTTGTATAATTTTGAATGAGTAGCTTAAATGTCCTCTGAGGAAGAATGTCACTTTCAAAATGGCATTTTCAGCAAAACCTTTTCTTTTTCTTTTAGCCAGTGCTATAGAATAGTTACATTGTTCTAACTGACAGTGTCTTTTACAGGTAGAAATTCAACTTGGAATTACTTTGAACTTGATTTTCTTTTCAGCATAGCCTTTGTTTTATTTCCTTATACTTAACTATATACTAAAGGTTCTCTTTTTTTTTTTAAAAAGTATTAAAAATCTTCAGTTGTGGACATTATAAGGTGTTCAGAGTAGGCTGTGCCTAAAGACTAATTCCTAGATTTGCTTGTACTCATCAATACTGATCTGAGCTTTATGAATTGTAGAATCATAGAACGGCCTAGGCTGGAAGGGACCTTAGAGATCATTTTAATCCAGCCTCCCTGCCACCAGGGTCACCACCTCTCGACAAAGGTCTCAGAGAGTGTAGAATAAGTTCCAAAACTCCATCTTTCTGACCTCTCTATATTTTCTAAGGAGATGCAGATCTCTAATACCTTTGTGTATAAACAGAGCTGTTACTAATTCCTCCACTTCTTTTCATCCACCAGGATGGCATTCATTAGAGCCCAACAATCCTCTTTTTGCACCCAGCCCACTCCTGAATAAACTGGTACAAGAAAAGAAGCTGGGTAAGAAGACCGGAGAAGGATTTTACAAATACAAATGAACTCCAAGCTTTGAGAAGTGTTAAACTATTCAGTGTATGCTATTCAGCATTGCCATATTACAGGTGAATTCTGGTTTAAACCTTCCCAAGGACAGCACAAACTGCATTTAGAACGTAACCCACCTCTGAACTGAGTGATTGGACTAGTTAACTATTTTTCTGGTGAAAGCTTGATTCAGTAGATTAGATTATTTCTTTCTTGTAATTCTGAAAAGCTTTATATGTACAGTGCCTTCATGCAAATGTTGATTTTTCAGGTGCAGAACAGAATGACAAGTGAATTTATGTATTCAAAACATTATTACATTAATGGGAAAAATCCTAAAAATAACCACACTTTCTTAAGAATAAAATTTTCAGCAATTCTGTGTTGAATGTCGTGGCTTGTAGTTGATGTGCTTGATTGTAGTCCGCTGGGTGGCAGTCTCTTTTCACTCTGGCAAATACAGCTGCAGAAAGGCAGTATTTGTTTTAGGATTTTTCTTAAGTGCAGTGCTGAATCTGTAGGTGTAAATTGCAGTGCCTTGAATAATATTTTTTTGAATGTCATATGGTTTAAAAAATAAAAATCCTTCAATGGCAGGCTGTCACCCGAACAAAACGTTCCCAGTACAGCGTTTAAAAGCAAAACTCATTATATGATTTGTGTTGGGTTTTTCTGGCATTTTCAATTACTGGTTGAGGGTCTCCTTTTGCTGCGTGCTGTAGGAACATAGTGAAGAGATGATTTCTATTCTGAAGGGCCTAGTACATAGATTTGTTTTCTAGTAACTAAGCTAGAAAGCCGGTGCAAGCTTCTGTATGCTTTCTAGACTCCTCTGAATTGACTTTGTTTACTGGTTATTCCTGTTAAGTGTCATTTTTGCATACTACACTACTACTGTAGTTGAGTACTTTGGGGGATTGAAATTAGAGTCTGTACTTCGTAAAAAAATAGGTGTGTCTGGCTGTGTAAGGCACCGTCTGTTTTGCAATTTTATTACCTTGGGGCTTAACAGAGCTTGGATTTGTTCGTGACGGAAGTGCTGCAAGTCCTGCCTTTTCTCTAAATACTGCAGAGCAGGTGGTCATGAGGATTGGAGTTCCAGTTCATCTGAATGCTAGACTTCTTTTACTTTGTGTATTTTGGATCTGCAAACTCAGTACTTATATATATATATATAT